TGTTTATTAAGTAATAGTTTCCCATGCAAAGATCTGAGCAAATGCAAAGGCTCAGAAGGAAGGAGCTTGGTATAGTGAGGCAGGGAGAACAGGTAATATGACTGGACCATGGGGGAATTAGTGATGCGACATGAAGTCAAAGTTAGTGGAGTCAGACAACATGGAACAGAATTTCTCAACCGCAGTATTCTTGACAGTGCAGTACACAGGGTTGCACCTCCCTGCATTCTATACCCTAAAATGTCTGCAGACATTGCCAGATGCCCACAGGAAGCCGGGGCCTAAGGGACACTGCTCTGGAAGCTTATAAGGGGAGGAAACTTTTGTAAAAGCAGTGGAGATTTCAGTGTTCAGTTTTTATTCTAAGGGAAACAAGCCACTGGAGGGTTTTGCCTGGGGAAGTACCTTGGAATAAGTAGCTGTTAGAGAGCTGAGTCTGCCAGGGAGGTGGGTTGTCAGGGACAAGAACAGGCAGGGGCTCGGTGGCGAGAGCAGCCCTGAGTGCTGAGGAGCCCTGGCTGCAGTGAGGAAGAGGGGGGATCTGAAGGGAGAGGTTGGATCAGGAGCGGAGCTTAAAGCACTTTGAAGAGCGAGAACACAGGAACAGCTCTGGCATGAGGGCTGGCTCCTGAGGCCTTCGTGACAGCGGTTTGGGTGTTGTGTGGTGCCGCAAGCCTTTTACTGTTCTTCCCAACGAATATGTGCGCAAGACTTACTGTGCGCAGGACACGAGGCTGGACACGGTGAGCTCTGTACGCTGAAATGTGGCAAAATAAAGCCACTGCTTTTCAGTTTCCTGGAAACCTCTCCCCTTTGCTGTTACTTTAAGCTGCCTCATCTCTTGCCCGGATTGTGACATATTCTCTTGTCTGATCTCTGTCTTCACACTTGACCACTTCTAATACGAATTTACAGAGCCGTCCTTCTAAACTAAAATTGGATCCTGTTGCTTATCTGCCAAAAACCCTTTACTGAGCTCCCATTGTTCTGATGGTTAAAACAATTCCAAAGCCTTTTCAGCAAGATGTAGAAGTCCCTGACCTCATTAGTCTACTTTCCTGTCTCCCATCTCTTTTGCACCAACTCTCTTTCATCTGCTCAGAATGGTCGACCACCCATTTTGCCTTTTCTGCTGCTTGCTTGTATCAGCTCCCAGCTGGTTATAGCTCCCCCAGGACTCACTGAAATAGCACCTTTTGTGCAGGGCATGTCTGACTTGGGGCTGAGCTTGGTGCCCCTCCTAGTGTTCCTTGGTGTGAGCTCAGCCCTCCTGCAGTCCTTTAAGGCTGATGCACTAGGAAGGCCCGCTGATCGATCTGGCCCTGCCACCACAGCAGAGCCCTTGAGGGCAAGGGTGGTAGCGATAATTTTACTTCTAGAGTCCATCAGAGTGCCTTTAAATGAATGAATTAACATTGATCTGTCAGGTGTTTATCGAAAATGTTGACTCTGGTGGCTGTATGTCAGGTGATAGAGTTGCACTGGTGAACGGAAACCACATATGGTCTCTGCCCTTGTGGAGCTTCTGATTCCTGAGGTAAAGAAACACAACTCAAATAATCATGTAAAACGTGACGTTGAAGATATGGCTGAGGCCATGAAGGGGAAGCTATGGTGTGTTGAGAGGATCTGACCTAGGCTAGGAGGTGCAAAGAGCTTCCGGAACCACAGGAGCTTAGACTGAGGAATAAAACATGAGTAAGAACTAGCTAAGTGCGGCCTGGTGGAGGAAGAGTTTTTCAGGTGGGTGAAGGACTCACTGTGACTCCAGGAGGAGGAACCTGGGGTGGGCATGGTCTGTGTGATCGCAGTGAGAGGGGAGCCAAGGCTGAAGAGGGAGGCAGAGGCAGGCTAAGCAGGGCCTAAAGGGCTGGATTATTCTTCCCTTCTTCTTAAGAATAGCAGGAAGTCTCAGCATGGTTGAGGGAAAGAAGCCTTGGTGGGGGAGGTGCCAGGGATCGAACCCAGTGCCTTCACACTGAGTTATACTCCTAGCATTTTTAAATTCTTTTTTCAGACAGGGTCTCATTAAATTGCCTATTGTGGTCTGGTCTGTGATCCTCCTGCCTCAGCCTCCCAGAGTGCTGAGATTACAGGTTGTACCACCACTCTCAGAGGAAATAATACTTTTTGAAAGAAGTGGTTTCAAGTAGCACAGAGTAATCATGTCTCCATAATTATTATATCCCAGAATTTTTATTTGTTCTGATGATCATGCAGTTGCCTTCCTGTTCTGTGATCTGAAATCCTTTTCCATCCTCATTAGTGTAGCATGGCTCCTTTGTGCTTGTCCTCAGCTCACTCAGGTTTGTGTCCATTGAAAGAGACCAAGGGAGCATCAAGCCAGCCCACGGTTGCGTGCCTGATGTTCTCTACTACAGCTTTTCTTTTGGTTCATCCATCTGCCCAGTAGGCACATCCTTTAATTATTTTAGATTCTCTAGTAACAAGACTGGAGGACATGCCTGTTGTCTGCTACGTTGCTCATTCTAACAGGACCTGAAGGCTTTGTCCTAAATAGAGTTTAAAGCTATGTGATGGTTCCCGCTATTGTCCTCCCTCCTCCCCTAAGTGTTCCATATGTGTATCAGTTAACAAAGTCTTCATTTTTATGAAAGTTAAGAGTCTATGGTTGCTGTTCTGGAAAATGTATACATGCTGTCATTTTTTTAAACAAAACTTTATTGACAATCAGCTGTTTATCATGTACTATAATGGCTGAGGGATTCACAGTAAAGGGAAAAAAAAAGACAGTCCAGGTGCTCATGTACAGTTTAATATCAAAAGTAGAGATACAGATGACTCAGACAACAGGGTGAGTGCTATGGCAGAGAGAGAGGCATGGTGTGGGTAGAGGATGTGAAGGAGAAGACCTAACCTTGCTTGATTTACCTAACCTAGGATGAGCAGATGAGTCATCGGAGAAGTCAAAGCTAGCTTAGCTCTTGAGGGTGGATAAGCCTGGGCCAAAGGAAAGTGCAAAGAGCAGCTGGCTCCAGGTGGAGAGGCCGTATGGATGGACATCCACAAGGTGAACTGGTGGGTGAGCCCTGTTTGAGGAACTATGTGTGGTAGAAAGTGGTGCTAACGGTGGAGATTCAGACGGGGCGAGGGGAGGAGGCTATAGATGCTGGTTCCTGCAGTAAGGTCATCAGGTGTGCACATTGGCAGGAGAGATGAGATCTCACAGACCCAGCTTGAACTGCAGCCAGAATCCCCGACTCCATGCCTGCTGTGTGGCTGCTTCCCTGGTGCTCACCAGCACCTTCTCCATCAGGGACAGTGGCAGGAGCTTCTTGACTGGCATTAATGTCCTGGACTGACTCGATTGTGTGCAGGGTAGCAGTCAAAAGGTGGGCACGTAGCAAGCGCACCACCCTCCATTTAGTCTCCAATGGTTTCCCACTGTACAAGCCAGAGTTCTTACCTCTCTTAGTCCTTATTACTATTTAGGGTATGTACATCTTAGAAAAGACAGCTTGTTTATGTGACTTTTAGTTGTTTCCCTCTATAAACAATTTCCACAAGGGCAGGGATTTTTGTCTGTTTTATTTACAGATATGTTACCAGCAGCTAGAGCCATGCCTGGTACTAAGTTGTGAGTCAACATTTGTTGAAAGAATAAATGCCTGAGATCCCAGATCTAGCATGATATTCACCGCCTTTTGGTCATTATTGGATGTGTCTATTTCAGATCATCCCACATTGGCCTTCCTTTCCTCTACCTTCCTCTACTCCCTCACTTCACGATTTTGTTTCCTACATAGATATTAACCTCTTTCCACTGAGAAGATTTTCGTTCTCAGCCAGTCCTGGATCAAATGAGCACAAGCCTCTCTTCCTTGTGCCAGCTCTCCTCACCTGCCATGCGCTCTCCGGGAACATGATTTGAACCAGGCGTACAAGATCTCAGTGAGGGGAGAGCAGTGTTCTCAGCAAGTGTAACAAGATCTGAGCGATAGTAGTCACGCCTGCTGGTGTTAATCACAGCTGCCCATTAGCGAGCAGAGCGGCCTCTCCGTTCCTGGGAGGGTCACACGCCGAACTCTCTGGGTCACCTCCATGCTGTGAACTCGGCCTGCTCTGTTCCCTTGGGCTCCATAGGGGTATCAAGCATTTGATTTCTTCATAAACACAGCAGAGAAATATAACCATAGAATAACACCGTGGAGACATTTAGCAATATTTATTTAATGAGTAGAAGAACTAGACCTTTTGTTATATTGTCTGCTCTTGTGGTCAGTAAATGTTATTGTGACCATTGGGCAATGATTGAAGTCAACCTTTCTGACCAAGGGGCTATTAATTACCTCAGTGAATATGAGTAAGAGGTTGTTAACAATTATTGCCCTAGGCTGTGAAAGGTGAAAATACTTTTCATACCATCTCGGGGTTGTTTGAGGATCATTAGTCTACATATACTCTGTACCATCTACCTATGCTCATTCTTCGAACTGCTACACACTGCCTAGCAGAGAAGGCAGTGCACCTGCTTCCTGGGTGCTCGTTACCCTTGTCATCACAGCCTGTTCCACTGCTGCCTCCATTTAGTGAGCTGCTGCTGTGTAACAAGTGCTACCGATACCATTTGTGTTGTTACAAAACATTTTGCCTGTGTTACTTCATTGGGAAGTCCAGTAACGCTTCAAAGTAGCCACATATCTCTACATTTTAGCTTACAAAATTGGATGCGCAGAAGTAACAGTTAATTAATACTAAGTGAAGCAGTGCTTAAATCTAAGTCCAACAGTTACTTACAACCACGATAGTCGGGGAGGTATGTGCTCTCGTAGCTGTAAGAGGTAGCTGTGTGTTTAGTTGCTGAAAGGAGAAATACTGTGAGGAAGAGAAAGTCCCTTTCCTTAAGGAGCTGATCCTCTAATACTAATACTAAGAAAATTAGTTATTTTCTTTGGGTAACGTTCAATCCCACTGGAGCATAAAACTAGTTAGCAGCTATGAGAGTTTTCTCCACAAGTTTCCATTACCTCTCTCCACAGAAAGGAGCTGGATATCACCTGGACCTCTTTTGGGTAGCCATCCTCATGGTGGTGTGCTCCTTCATGGGCCTTCCGTGGTACGTGGCCGCTACTGTCATCTCCATTGCCCACATCGACAGTTTGAAGATGGAGACAGAGACTTCTGCACCTGGAGAGCAGCCCAAGTTTCTAGGAGTGAGGTGTGTGCGGCAGAGGAAAGCGGTTCTGTCTGTTGATTTGTTTTTGTTTTTTTGAGACTGGGTCTTGCTAGGTAGCCCAGCTTGGCCTTGAACTCACTTATATAACCCCGGTTGGCCTCAAACTCATGGCGATCCTCCTGCCTCGGCCTCTCAAGTGCTGGATTTGCAGGTGTGTGCCCCCGTGCTTGGCAGGAAAATGGTTTCTGAGAACCTTTATTTCCTAAGGAAATAGGTAGGTTTGGAGGAGATAGAGATGGTGATAATTAATTTATTCCTACATTTTCTGCTCTAGAAAGCACTTTTAATTGGAAAGTTTTCATTCTTTTTTTTAGTTTACTTCTTATTATATAAAAAAATGTTGCAACAAAACCCACAATTTTTCAGCATGTGCTTTGCTGTTTCAGTTCTTATTGTATCTCAGTCAGCCATATGAAGGTCCTAAAACTCTTAAATCTGCTCATGATGTTTGAGATTCTGTGAAGGAAAAGAAATTCTTATTTTTCAGCCTATGTTCTGCCCCTTTAAGCACTTTGAAGCTTTGGCCTGCAGTTGTTGAATTTGGGAGTGCGAAGGCCAGGAGTGGAAGCCCTCCGCACGCTGTCTAGGCCTTCGTGCAGCACACCCTGCCTTTCAGCACCAGCTCTCATGACCACACCAGCACTTCCCGGGCCTCAACAGGGGTGGTTATTTCTTAGGGGGTGGGAAAGCACATGATGGGTGGGAATCATATTTGTGAAAAAGCACTTTTGTTGTAGATTTGGAAATTAAATGTGTGATTTATAATATTCACAAACTCTCCCCAAGCTGTTTTTTAATTAGAATGTGGGACAATGTAATATCTGTCTTCTATGAAAGAAGGTGTAATTACACAACAGGACAAGTTTAAAAAATAGGGGATTCAAATAGGCCAGTAATTAATTCATGAACCAAGAACAAGTGATTTTTCTTTCTTGATTCTTAAAAGGAGCAAAAGCTCTGGCAGAATCACTTCTTTCTTTATGAATTTGAACCACATATTGCAATGGTTTTAAGAAAATTTTTAGTTATGTAGAGTTCATTTGATATTCTTGAGATATTAGTTATATGACATCAAAACTTTTTACTGTTTTAGCCAAACTTTGGTTTGGTCAGTGAATAGCCTTTGATGGGGAAAAGACTAGAGCATGTTTATGAAAACAAGAAGTGGACTGGTAATCTTCTGATTTGATTTCAGGGAACAAAGAGTTACTGGAACCCTTGTGTTTATTCTGACTGGCCTGTCGGTCTTTATGGCTCCCATCTTGAAGGTAAATATGTGAAACGTCGCCTCTTATTTCTCAGAACTCTGGCAGATACTTGAACCAGGAAAGAGTGAAATGCTTGCAGGATTCTCATTAGTTTGGAAGCAAGGGTCAGATAACAAGAGAACACTGAAAAATATTTCTCTTGATTTCTTTTTTAAGCTGTTACCCCTTGCCTTACAACTTCTGCAGTTACTTGGTTATACTATAATAATTACCAGTATTTAAACTTTCTGATCTGCAAAAATGGCAGTTTCATACATTTCAAGCTGATTCCCCCCAATCCACACACACATATTTTGCTCTCTTGTCTTCAATCCATCCTTTCTTTCATTATCCTCCATTTACTCTCACCAGAATCCTCCCCTGTTCCTGCATTAGACTCCCAGAGAATGTGAGTGAGTCAGGATACACTTTTTCTTAGTTTTCTTCTATTCTAAATGTTTTTGTTTTCATTGAATCACAAGGCCTGGTAGTCTTTAAAAGAAAATGATTTACTAACTTATAATTAGAAAACTTCAGAAATGAACTTTTGTAGAAGAAAAATTACTTGTTAGATTAGAAAGTAAGGAGTCAACCCACAGGTTTGGTTGATGGGTAGATATTTGCCTAGGTAGGTAAATATAAACTATATATGAAAGCTTCAGAGCAGAAATAGGACCAAAAGAAGGTTAATATACTCCTGCTCATAAAGCTTTTAATTTTCATTTATGACAAGATTTTTACTAGTTTTTTTACTAGAACTAATGCTAGTCAATTATTAATAATTTGCATCTTATGCTTTGTACCACAAAAATCACTCATAGACCCAACAGCTTAAACCACAACTGCTAACAGTCTCTTCCAGTATTTTTCTTGAAAATTTTAGTTTTAAAAAATTTTAATTTTTGCCAAGCATAGTGCCACCAGCTTGTAACCCCAGTACTTGGGAGGCTGAGGCAGGAGGATCACCATGAGTTCAAGGCCAGCCTGAGCTATAAAGTAAGTTCAAGGCCAGTCTGAGCTGCATAGTGAAGCCCTGTCTCAAAAAAACAAAAACAAAGCAAAATCTTTAATTTTTAAGGCTTTTAAATGCTCAGCTATGCAATTGGTGGTGTAACACATTCTTCTAAAGAGTTCAAACAGTACATACACAACTATAGATAGTAAAAAGCAGAAGCCTTCCATTTCTCTAGCAAATTTTGTATCAGTGGCCAAACAGATGAATTTTATTAACATGGGACTGTAATACCTTAACCCAGCAATGGCGAGTCTTTTAGAGATGAGGACCCAAACTGCAACCCCAAACCCACTTCTTTATCTCAAAGTACCAACAGTGCAATTAAATGTGAATACTAAGGTCTTGGTTTAGAAAAAGCAGCCCATACACTAACATCTTTTGTTTCAAAAGAAAAACAAACAACATGCATGCCTTATGTTTGCTATCACTGCCTTAATGTGTAAGGCTAAGTTTGAGAGCATTTAGACTAAATTTATATTAGGTATACAATCCCTGGGAAACAGTTAAAATATTTAAGTGCTCATCTTTTATCCTTGGTTTTCATAATGTCAACTGTCCAGTTAAATTAATCTCTGGCTAAATTCATGAAGGACCCTATTTCTCAGGTAACAGAAAATTAGAATTAACAATAGCCTCAGAAGAATTGTTTCTGGTTCTGTACAAGAGAACCTTAAAAGAGTACTGCACTTAGGTTCTGTGGGGACAGAAGGAAATCCACTGTCACCTGAGCCACTGCAAAGCAAGTTATGGGGTGGGTTGAAAATGGCACATATCCCCTGTGGGTGCTAGCACAGGAGCTGTGGAGCTAGGGACAGGCATGGTGATCTCACGGTCAACCTGATATCATCCAGAGAGGTAATCTGTAGAGGTCATTGTGGAGGGTTGTGACCCGGTACTGTGGGTAGCCCTACTAAGAGTGGGTTTTCCTCCTCTGGCGATACCCACCTTTCTTGCATGGACTCTCCTTGTGCTTACTAACTAGAGAGGGATCGATAGACAGAAACCTTTTCATTAGTCCAGATTTACTTCTCACTACCCAGTACTTCATTCTGTCGTTTACTTTTATATGATTTATTTTTATTAATACAGTATAAATGTTAATTCAGAGAATCTAGATGTATTTAAAAGTTCTCTTTTTTTGTATGTGTGTTACAGCAAATTGACTTTAGTCCTGGAGAAACTGTCAGTTAGTTGAGTAATCATTATGATTTCAAAGGCCCAGAGAACAGATACTGTATAAAGTTATTTTTAGGAAGATTTGAAAGAACTTATATTTTCAACAATGTCTCTTCCTATTTTTCTTACCCTATACCCGGGCTTGATTGCAGCAGAGTTAAAGCAGAAAGCCAGGTACTTTCCAGTGATCCTTTATGCTCCTGCTGTGCAAAGCACATTAATATCTCCACAAAGAGCTTAAAATACAGACAATGGAGACACGGGCAGGAGACCAAGGCGCGTGAGCTTGGTGCCCCTTTGCCCTTCCTTGGGTAGTCCGTGCCATGGCTCATCCTCATCCTGCTCGTGTCCACCATTAAGACTATTTCCACCTGGCAACTCTGGGTTGACTCAAAAGATCATTGTAAAAATCAGCACAAAAGGTGGTTCAGTGAACATTTTTTGTTAAGCGCAGTTTTGCCCAATACATGGGAAATAGTTTTGTGAAGATAGCTTAAAATGTTGTATGGAAAAATGTATTTAAAAACAGCAAGACGCATAGCCAAGAATTAGGAATGGAAATTTTTTACTTCAGCAAGTGAGACTATTCCTAACTTCTGGAAGCAAGTCTCAATTGTTGCCTGATTTTGGATCATGTGCCGTTCATCCCATGAAGCTTGGTGAGTTGTGTGCATTTGAAAAGTCACTCTTTGGTCCTTTAAAAAATCAATCCAGGAAGAAGCTGGCACTGAGGGTATAGTTTAACCGAAACCTAAGTTTCCAGTGAAGGCAAAGTCACCATTAATAATTAACCTCAGAATTCACACAAAGTGGTATCAGGGGTTACTTTGAAGGAAGGAACCTTTTTACTTCCTCCAGTGACCAGTGTATCTTAAAGGAGCAAGCGATAACTTCAGAGAACAGTTTTGTTTAAGAGTCTGCCTTTGACAAGCAGATCAAATGGAAGGAATGGGAGAGATGTGCACCTTCCTAAAATGAAGTGGCCCGGCCTTCCCTGCCCAGCTCCTTATTTCCCTTGTAAGTGTGATGGTCTTGGATGAGCTTAGCAGTTTTACCTCGTGCATTTAGCAGCATAGGGACTTGTTCCCCATGCCTGCTTATGCAAGCTTACTTTGAACATGAAGTTTATGACCCCATTTTGATCTCTGTGCTGAAACCTGCCTTTTATGTGGAAGGACATAAATTCAGCATATCAGCTTTAGTTCATGAGAGTACACCTTGGCCCTAGCCAGCTACAGTCATACTTGCCTCAAGCTCTGCATCTCACCACTGATTCAGTTCAGAACTGCTGGGAAGCAAGAACGACCGGCTTCCCAGGCTGGGTAAATGGTTTCCATGGTGTTTCTGCATCAGAAATACGGTGTGTTATCACCAGTATGCATGTGGGGAAGCCAGGCGAGACGAAAGAGCAGCAAAAAGGTGAAAGGCTGTTCATTGAGCTTACTTTCTCTTTTTTTTTTTTTGGCAAGCTTCAGGAAACAAACATCAAATAAAGTTCCCTGGTACTTCTGTTTCCTGTGCTTGAATTAGTTTATCTTTAACGTGAGGCGTGGCCAAAATTTATCTTTAATTTTTGTTTAGTGTTCTAAAGTGTGGAAGATAGCATTTAATTTGTACTTGGCAGATATTCCTTGAGCTCCTACAGTCCGTCATGCTCTGCTCACACCGAGGAAGCAAAGAGAAGTGATTGTGGTGATGACGATGAAGATGATGATGGCAGCTGCTAGGCTTTGAATTTGGCACTGAATTAAGGACTCGACACCAATTTTTACAATTTAGTTCCCCCATGACATCTTTGACACAGATGGTAATAATTACCTCCACTTACAGATAAAAAAGTTATGAGTAATTAACTCACCAAATTGTGAACTTCTTAAGTGGTGGAGGCCAAGATTTAAACTCAGGCAGCTCTGACAATACAGCTAATGTCATAATCCTCATGGTTTATCACCTTTTAAAGGGGCCTAATTGTCTTACATGGAGAAAAATATGGTATTTTCCCAAACTCATCAGACAAGGAGTTTTCAGTTTTTCCAAGGTTGCAAGTTAACAGCTTCTTTATCAGTCTAAATTTTTAAGACTTAAGGAAACTAGGACTCTGTTTAATAATGCGTTTCTAAAGGCAGTTGCTATAATTTCAACATAGGTAGTAGAGTAGCTCTTAAGTAAAAGAGGGATTTTGGTCTGACCTTCTCCAACCGTCCTTCTGACCAGTACTCATGTGCATCACTGAGGGACTGAGAGGGGTAGGTGGGCAGTATCGGGCCCCTCAATGTGTCAGGCGAGGTCCTCATGACACTGGCAACATCAACACTGTGTTTAGTGAATATCAGTTATGAGCCATGCCACAGATTGGATGTTTTCTGCTATGTAGTCTTTATCAGAGCCACTTTCTAAACGAGCATGTAAGGATAGGAGTTAACAATTTTCTAAAGGATACACAGCTGGTAGCTAGAACTTGAACCCAGGTCTGCCTGATTTATACGCCCAAACTGTTAATCGGGATCTCACTCTATGTTTTACACACACACACACACACACACACACACACACATAGTGACCACGGCTGGAGGTCTCACTCCTGCTCTGAACTCTGTGTTAAATATGCACAAGCTCCCCTTGTTATTAAACTTACCCTTTTCAAATTTTTCCTTCTGGAAATGTTCCAGCACTGTCAACAAATCAAAGAGAGACGTAGGTGAAAATGTACAGAAGTACACTCACTAGAATTTGAAAATTTGATGGCATGATTTATATATGTTAAGTTTTACTTTCATCCCAGTTTCATTGATGTATTTGTTTATAGGCTCAATCACTGATTTTTGAGTATATATTGAATGTAATTTGTAATTTGTAGTCTACTTTGTAATTAACTGCTTGGCTTTCTGGGTATGATTGATTATATAATTTTCTTTGCATAATTTTATTATTTGGCTGTTCTTGATGTGCCTATAACCCTGCAATACTGTGTAATTTTATGTTTTAATTTCTTCTGCCTTGCTTTGTAAAAATATTATTATTATGTATGTTATACTTATTCCATCTTTTAAAAAAAAATGCTTTTCCTTCATTTGAGAAACCCATGCTATGAAGAATAATTCCAGTGTGACTAATTTTTAAGAGTTGACCTTTTGATATGACTCATGAACTTCTGACTCAATAATTCTGTCCAGTTTCACTAAGTGTTCCATGCTGGAAGAGTTTTATTGAGATCTTATGTTATTGTAAAGGAAATGGCAAGCTTGATATGATATTTCTATCACATTGAAATTGACCAAAAATCTACTTACTAACCTTACTTCTCAACTAAGAATACAATTTAAGAAACATTTTCATACCTGAATCTATATTTCTGCTCATACCCATGTTGATATAGTTATCCCATCTGGTTTCATTTTGAGGTTGATTCAGTAATATCTGTAATCAAATTCAGAGAGAATAGCTCTAAGCCCCAAGGCACAATGTCCCTTCACTTCAGTGTTAAACCTACATTAGAGAAAATGTTCAGCTAAACTCAGGAAGAAGGGAGAAGGCCAGAGATGGGCCTGATGGGACACTTTTTGTTCAAGCTAAAAAAATGCTTTACTTAAATGAAAAGTGACTACTGTAGGAATTCTAACTTGTTCTTTATGAATGGACTGTCCTCTTTTCTGCTTCCACTTTTGTTCCTTTCAAAACAGAAAATGGTAAAAGGAAGAAGTCATATTGTAAGGAAAAATGGAACAACTTAAAAAAATGAGTTAAAGCAATAAAATGGCCCTTTGGTTAGTTTTGCTTTTTTGTTTGTTTGTTTTGGTAAATGTACACAGGAGCATTTGAAGGAATAGAAACATATTCTAAGAGAAGCAGGGGTGGGGGCCGCCAGTGGCCTGCTCGGTGGTACGCCCCCACGTGGGGCCGTGCAGCACCGCCGCAGCCTGCCCCTCGCTCCTCTGCCACCAGACCCTCCGCTTCTTGTTTCCTGAGCTCAAGATAAAAGTCAGCTACACTGAACTTGCTAATCTTTTTTTCTCTAGGAAAAGCATTTGATGTTTTCTAAAAATAAATGTATTTACTGTATGTCTATGGCCAGCCAATGACATTTCCAGAGGTCCAGGCACACTTCGGATTCCTGGGTTCTCTAATAGTGGCCCAAGGGTCTCTGGACAGAACTGCTTAGGCAATCACAAAAACAGGGTGCTAGAAATTACACTTTGCTTAATAAGGACTATTTAAATAATTATTCTGCAGCCATATATGTTTTCTGGTTATGGTTACCCCTTTGTGCGGATTTTGAAGACTGGCCTTAACTGACTTACAGTTTCAGTATTTTATTTTATTTATTTATTTTTTGGTTTTTCTCCGGTACCGGGAACCGAACTCACGACCTTGCGCTTGCCAGGCAGGCACTTTTGCCGCTGAGCTAAATCCCCAGCCCCCTACAGTTTCAGTATTTTAGTTTTGAAAAAACCTGAAATCACTTGAATTTCTTATTGTCCAGAACAAAGACACTTCAGAATCAGAATCATGCTTAGTTGGCTTACATTTTCCAGGTCTAGGAGTTACCTGGATTTTACGGACTGATCACATAGAACTTCTCACTGTGGAAACACTTCATATTGATGAAAAGATATTTCTGCTAAATGATGTGTAAAATGCAGTGATTCTGTTTGGGAGCTGCATATTAATTCATGTGTGTAATTAAGTGTCTCCAGATGCCCCACACCCCTCTCAAGCAGGGTTCTTATTAGCTTGTCCTCCTAACAGTACGGAGAAGCAAGGCAATAGTCATGGCATGTTTATTTCACTGAAAGAGATGTTTAAACATCCTGTGGAGGTGTTACTCAGGAAAAGTAAGCAGACCGGTTTGAAAAGATGTTGGACATAAGGGTGAAACAACTTGCTACCACTGTCTGTGTCTTGCAGTCCCTGCAAGCATCCGGCTTACATTGTCTCTTTCTTTACGGAAAACAAAATTTTATTAATTAAAAACAATAGTTAGAGGTACCATGCGATTGATATATCCTGTCTTTTAGTTTTAGATTTAGTCTTTATTTAAGCCGTCCCTTTTCCTCCGTGTTTTTATTACTGCTGTTTTAAAGCCTTTCCCAAATTTCTTTCCCTCCTAGTTTATTCCTATGCCTGTACTATATGGTGTGTTCCTGTACATGGGGGTAGCTTCACTTAATGGGGTACAGGTAAGTTTTCACAGCAATCTGAGTAAGTCATGCCTTTTTAGTAGGAAGAATAACTTAGTAATAGATCTTTGAAGAAAAGTACTAATCATCCATGCTGGGTTTAGAAAATACATTTATTTTGTACTTTCTCCACCTTTCACCTGCTTTTCATTCCTGATTTCATCAACAAAGTGAGCTGGTATTAGCAAGTGTTATCATAAGTGTCCATTCCTGAAGCAGGCTGTTGACAGTCATTTGAGCAGGAAGGCAGAGAGCTATAGTTTCTCCTTTCCATTTCCCTCTGCTTCCCCCTCTCTTCCTCATCGCATCTTCTGTTCTCAGGAAGGACACTAACACTTCCAGTGTGCCCGCTGAAATAGTGCGTATCCACGAGCCATAACCCGACAGTAGAACAGCTCTTCTCTTTTGACCTGCATTTCTCACGACTGAACTTAGTGATCAAATTTTACATCAACGAACAATTAATGTCAGTGTGGTTTTTATACTGCATTTGTGGAAAACTTCAGTTACAACTTTGATAAAAACTGACCCCCTTTTTAAAAAATTAATTAGGAAAAACTTCATGAGGACTTAGTCTTTCAGTTGAAGTCTAATTTAATTGGCACCAGTGAACTGGAAGTTCTGTTGCTTTCTTGTACTTTGTTAATTGTAACCTTATTTAGAACTCAGTAGTGTTTTAATGGGAAAAGACTTCTGTGAACATCGTAAGAATGTATTCGAACTCCTTCAGAATAGTCCTTGTTTTCATTTATTGAATTTAGGTTAACTTGGTTTTAAAGTCAGATGGAGCTGGGCAAGTGGCCAGACCCCCCAGTGAGAAAAGCCTACTTTACTTTTTTCTGCTTGGGTCCATTGAGTAGAGTTCTTAGCCACTGGGGTATTTGTTACAAAATATAAAGTGGCTTTTCATGGACTGCACTAGATTAATGTACTTGTGAGTTTATTTGTGCTCCTGAGACTTTTAGGAAGCATAAATTTTTAAGACTATCTTGTTTTTATCCCCATTGTGAGTATTCATTCCTTTCAATGAAAAAATATGAACCTAAATATGGTCTCCAAACTAGTAGTTCTTGATTTTGTTTGCCCTTTATGGTCCAGCCTAACTCAGAATTAGGGTTCTATATATAGGAGATTTATTGGTGTTTGGAACCAGTGCATGTCTATAGAGAGAAGACTCAACCCATCAGAATGACAGAGGAACAGAAACATGCCGAAGGGACACACACATTTCTTAAATTCTTCAGTGCTATTGCTCCAATGTCTTCTCACTTTTGCTTACTTTCCTCTTGATTCTTTCTTCTTTAGACTCTTTTGGCAATATTTATTAAGCAAGAAATATGGTAACTTGGTCTTTATAAATGAGAAGGTTCTACTAGACAAGAATAGCTCTATAAGGCAAAAGAATCCCTGTGAATAGGGAATCTCTCCAGAAAGCGTTGTCTGTGAGTCTAGTTTACTTCTACAGTCTCCTTTCTCTCCAGAAACGAAACAGAGATATATTTCTGGGTACTTATAATAAAATTATTCAATTCACACTATTTCATGAACATTTTCTACTGAAGTATACTCTAGTGGGTTTTGTTTCATCTTGTTAACCGTCGATGTCAGCTCAGCAGCTGTTCTTCGAAGTGCAGCACCTGGCCGACAGATGCTCAGGTGTCCTTTCAGCACACATGTATACATGACTGTGTGCTGGCCTCTCTCAAGTTCAGATATCAAGCTGTATAGGTGGCGAAACTCATTGTAATGCTCATACGGCTTTTCTCAGAAAAGTTAATGGTGAAACATGACTGGGTGTATTAAGTTATACCACAGATGAATAATGTGGACTATATGGAAATATCAGTGCATTCCCATTTTTAAGGTGAATACTTCAGGTATGTCCTTAGAACATCCCTGAAATGTATATGCTGTGTAGTATCATCACCTCTTCTTTCAAAGAACACAACTGAGGCAGAGAAAGATAGGAGAGTTAGGCGTCTTCTTTCAGCATAACATTGCTCGTATTGGCAGGAAACCTCTCTCCTAAGACTCAGATACTGAAAATAGAAACCCGGAACTGAGCATCTAAAATGTATGTTTTGATTAATGACTTTATTCTTTGGTGGCCACATTATTTCATATATCTGTAAACAGTTCTGCACAATTACAACAAAAATTAAAAGACTTGTGCTGTGGCCTGACCTTGCTAGACTCAATTTCCGCACACCTTACCCTGTCCTTGTCCTTTGCAAAGGACACTGCTTGCCTGAATTACAGAAGATAAATCACAGTGGTTAGTTGGGCGTGGGCAATGACTGAGTCAGCTCATGAACGAATGCTCGCCTGCTCTTCCTCCCCAGTTCATGGATCGTCTGAAGCTGCTTCTGATGCCCCTGAAGCACCAGCCTGACTTCATCTACCTGCGCCACGTACCCCTGCGCAGAGTCCACCTGTTCACTTTCCTGCAGGTGCTGTGTCTGGCCCTGCTCTGGATCCTTAAGTCCACAGTGGCTGCTATCATCTTTCCAGTTATGGTAGGTGCTCTTTTCGCTGGACCAGCCGTGAGGCCATGCTTCTAGCTGTGGTTATTGTGTGCGGCAGACCCAAGTCTCTTACGTGTGGAGTAGTTTCCAGTTTTGACCTCACCACTTTGAGCAATAGCAATTCTTTGTTAGTTTGTGGGAGTATGGCCTGAACCCAGGACCTTCACACTGGCGACATCCCCAAGCCGTATGTTTGATCCTCCTGCCTGAGCCTCCCAGAGTACTGGGGTCACAGATGTGCATGACCAATTCCAAATTTGAGCAGTGGCAGTTTAAATTTCCTGTGTCTACAGCATGATTCTACGGCTCATCCTAGACAGGCCCACAATTCTCCTACTGCCATCAGCTCACCAGTAAGGCAGGAATGGTTGTTAGTGTTCTGAGCTTGAGCTGTGAGCACCAAGGGGACAGCACATTGCTTGACACAGAGGGGATGCCAGGGCAGATGCCGTAGTTTTGAAATATTGTGCAATAGAATCAACCTAAGACCGTAACGGACATTTAGGTCCAAATAATAGAAGTGTTTAGAAACTTGTGAGACCTTATCCAGTGCAGCTCTCCTGGTTTATGTCATGCTGAGCTTAAGGAGAGGTGGAACTCGCCATCCTAGCTGTGATGCCCTGAGAAGCAAGGCAAAGGAACCAATAGCCTCCTCTGAATCAGAAGAAGAGGAGGCTGGGGATATAGCTCAGTGGCATAAGCACCTGCTTGGCAAGCGCAAGATTGTGAGTTCAATCCCTGGTACTGCAAAAAAAAAAAAAAAAAAAAATCAGAAGAGGAGATGTGAGCTCTGCCGTTACTGAATTTCACACCTTCCTGTAACTCTCCCATTTTTGAAGATGAATCTGCATACACTTAAAACAGGTCACAAGGTCTCCTCTACTCTGTTTTATCTCCTCCACAGTTTTGGAAACAATTTCTGTAAACTTACCACATTTTATTTGTTTTATAAAATTCCTCCTACTCTTAAGTAGGATTAATTTTTATGTATATTTGTTGTTTGTAATCATTTATTTTTTTCTACTGGGAATACAGATAGTTTTTTCTCAATTAAAACACTGACAAAACAACAATGAAGACAAAATCAAAACAATACAAAAACAACAAAAACGATACTTGACCTCAGAGCAAAATGATAGAAATTTACAGTGGTTGCTATATTACATACTGTTATGTTCAACAAAGTTGCTCAGTCCACCGGACATAAGAATGTAAGATTGGTCAAACAAAGACAGTAACAAGAAAAACAAATAAAATTTTAAAAAAATTTAAAAACATTGGAAGTGATGCAGAGCTTCACCATACAAGATGGTAGGAGTTCAACGATAGGTAAATGGATGCAACTAGAGACCATACTCATTAGTGAAATAAATCAGATTCACATGAGTAAACATTGTATTTCCACCCTACTATAAGAATCTGAAAGAGTAAATAAAATCTGAAAAGTGCAATAGATATTGTGAAAGGGAAAAGAACCTGCTCAAACAGAAAAAATAGTTTTAAAAAGTCCCTAGTGATATACTAATTAAATCATTTTTTTCTTAATATCGCTTATGTCTTTTTTTTCTTGAACAGTACTAACATACTGTAATACACACTGGGCGTGAGAAATGTTGTTCAGTGCTCCTGTGTACCTATTGGTATTGTTACCTATTTACTCATTTTGTGTTTTTTTTTTTTTTTTTTTAAAACCAGGAGCAACGAAACTCCTGTGTGCTGGCCCCTCCCAAATTCAAATATCAAATGAAATAAATCGGAAATATATCCAGTCAGTCACTTATTGCTTGAGCTAAATAGTAATGAAAATGCTTTATCTTTGTAAAAATTTTTAGAGCTTTTATTTCATCATGAAACAATCCTAAGTTATTAGTAGGGCAGCTGGCACTCATTTCTCCAGGAGATGAAGAGCTGACATCTGCATAGCTTGGTGTGAGTATAAGGACAACTGTTTCATGTGAGGTCAAGCCAGGACTCCCATTACGTACTGCACACCAGTTTTTCTATTGTGCAAAGATACCTTTAATGTACCTTCAGAGGGAAGGAAGGGGATGGATTGCTCTTTAAGGCCAGTTCATAGAATCAAAGGCACAGAGTCAAGAACAGTGGTTTTAGAAGAAGACAATGTGGGTCTTTTCTTGCTTTATTTTGGTTTGATAGCCTCTGCTGTCATTCCTCATGTCTGCAAACTCTGTTTCTTTGGCTGTAAGATGGAGATAATAATATCTACTTTTGGGTTTTGTTGTGAGGCGTACATGAGATGCCTAGGAGTTTAGCATAGTCTCAGGTTCATGGTACATGTTGCGGAAGTAACCCCGTACGCACAGTGGTTGAAGAACTTTCCCATATCAGCTCATTGAAGGTGTCTTAGTGTATGGTGTGGGGCATAGATTTTCAAAAACCTTGCAACTTTTGAATCATTAGAAATCATTTTTTAGGCTATTACTTTTGCTTTAAATTTTTAGCTATTTTACTAAAAATCTAACATGAAAGGGAGTGGTTTTCAAAAACAATTCTATCATATGTCTGCAAACATAACATATATGTGTTCATACATTTCAAAGAACAGAAAAGAGTTTCAACTGTGACTTTTATGAAACAGCTTTCCCTATGAAGGAAACAATGATGTTCGACTTAGAATAAGCCCCTCAGTCCGCGAGAGCTCTGTCACACTCGCCCTCCACGCCATGGGGCTTTGCTGACGCGAGTGGCCAAGAGCCACACTCGTTCTGACTGCATCGGACATGGTTTCTTTCTTTCTTTCTTTCCTTTTTTTTTTTTTTTTACCTCCAGATCTTAGCACTTGTAGCTGTCAGAAAAGGTATGGATTACCTCTTCTCCCAGCACGACCTCAGCTTCCTCGATGATGTCATTCCAGAAAAGGACAAGAAGAAGAAGGAGGATGAGAAGAAAAAGAAAAAGAAGAAGGGAAGTTTGGACAGCGACAATGATGATGTAAGGAACTTTACGAACTTCTCAAGTAAAGCTAAAGAAACAAATAGGAAAAATGTACTTTTTCCTTTTTCCTGATGTGAAGTGGAGGATTGAGTTCCAAGACTGTCTGTTCTTATGAGCTATCACTCATTTCTTCTCCATTTGCCCTTTATGCTTTCATTTTCCCCCCTGAGGTCTTTATAGCCATTGATGCACTGAAAGTGACTTCTAAAAACTCTTCACCACACTTGCAGAACCTTAGCCCCATAGACAGAAAGCAGTTTGCTTAGAAAACATATTGCTTTGTTATTATCAGTAACAGGTACTTAAGATAATAACTCATTTTGTATAATTTTGAGTTTAATGTGGACAAATACCAATGATTTCACCTCCCATATTCTATGGGTCTGTTTGAGCAGGCTCAAGGAAAATCATGCTATTATGTTATACTGAACACTGCATTTGTAGTAAAGTGATTTGTCATTTTCTGTCTGTAACTTGGCAAAAAGTGGTAAAGGGAATTGGAGTTTGGGTGGTTTTTTTGTTTTATTTTATTTTATTTTATTTTATTTTTTTACCAAATTAAGTAGATAGTATCATTTCCAGATGGTCATCCTGCAGTCAGGTGATTAAGTTAAGAAATGAAATTTTGATGACTTATTTTTCTTCAGGAGACCATTCACAGAAATACAGATGGTCCAGTAGGGGCCTGTAATCAATACCAAGAGAAAAGCTGGGATATGTTTTCTTTAAGATACACATACACACACACACACACACACAGTGTGAAAGGATTACTAAAATGATACGTTGCATATGAAAATGTGTTCTAGATTTTATACAGTGTAGTATGACACATGATTTTTGTGTGTTTCATTACCCATCATAAAGTAGCAATAGGGTTAATTTTTAGCATCTGGCCTGTGATTGACAACTTTGCTCATGCATGCCTTATCCTCAGTTATCTGTCCTAAAAGCTCCTTAAAGTATATATTCTTGTTCCTACTTTACATTTAGATTTAGACTGAGGAAAGTTAATTAATTTTTAAATTTTTAAAAACTTAAAACTTTTTTCAGCTCTACTGAGGTCTGACAAATAAAAGTGTATATATTTAAAGTGTACACAGTGGTGCTTTGATGTATGCGTTGTCATTTTTCTGTATGCACACAGCTATAAGCAGCTGAGCCAAAACTGAAATCCAAGGCTGTGCGCCTCTTTCCCGTTGGTCAGGCTGTCTGACTGTGTTCTTTCTGTAGGACTTGGAAATAGTACAGTGAGGGCAGGCAACAGACAGAATTGGATTTCAGATAAATTGATTCAATAAGGAAGAGCTAAATATATGAGGCACATTAAGCTAAAGAGAAAAGAGTCTGAGGGAACTTTTGTGACTGTCACCATCCATCCTCAGCAAGAGCAGGTGTATAGATTTTCTGTATCAGTGATGACAGAGAAAGAGGGAATGCATTTAAATTGCAGCAGAGATTAGTATGTAGGATTAAGAAAAATGATGTGCTTACACATTGGCTAGAAATCAAAATTTGAAATACATTTCTGGACCATTCAAGATTAAAAAAAAAGGTTACTTGAAATATTGATGTGATTAAACAGTATTTCATCTTGAATTTTCAAAATGTGTTTGTCCATGGACACCAAATTTAAATTTATTACAAATGTATGCAGTGATAGTATGAAACCTTCTATAATGTTTTTTAAGAACAAAATATTAACCCTGGGGAAAGTTTTAAATTTACTACTCTTTAGTTGACAAAAGTTGGATAAAATGAACACCTAAATACTCTTTAGTTCTTAGGTATGATTATCAACAAATCCTATTTTATTTAAACAATGCTCTTGTTTTGTGGATGTTTACCATTTTCAGCTCTTTATTTTCAGTAGATTTCTTGATGACTATGTGTGGTACTTATTTCCTCTTCCTCTTCTCCACCCCACCCTACCAGAGACAAACAAGCAAACATGGACATTTGTTCCTAGACAGAGAAGCCAGCCAGGCAGTCTAGAGAACATCTGTACACTGAGTACTGTGTGCTGGGCCAGTATTTGAAGGGTCTGCATCTGGACGGTGACTCGGTGCTCACTACAGTCATGTGGTGTGGTGTCTGAAGACACGGTGCCACATGAGACCCCGGGGTTACCGCTCTGAGAAGTGTGAAGGATGCAGCTTGCCACTCATAGTCAGTTTTGAGGCTTTCTGGGAGGCTATGACTGAAGAGTTGGTCGCTAACCTGCCCATCTATAAGTGCTATTATTTTGAGAGTTGTTTGAAGTAAGACTTATTGTTCTTATTGTTGTCATAAAGTACATGAAGCATCTTAAAATTTTTTTCTTTTCTAGCAGTTAAAATGTATTATTTTAGCTCTCTAAAAGGATATTATAGCTCATTGTCCTTTTTAGATGCCTCTTAAAGAAATTTTCAATATAGGTAGTTAGCTTGTTAAAATCTTTTTTATCCCTGCTTTTTTTCTTTCAATAAAGATTATCGCCTTGATATTTTCAGTTTGGAGATGAATTGTGTTTGTTCAATCCAGATTTGGGTTCAGTACAATGAATTTTTGAAATTAAAGTGACGATTCTGTGGAAATCTGTGACAGTTTGGGTGAGGTGGCCTGTTCTTTAAGAATACCGTGATTAGCCACCTAGCTTTATCATCTGGTCCTGGTAATGATTCTCTGGTTTTCTGACCGTCCAGATACTTCCTTTTGCTTTCATTTTCTCATGTTTTATGTTTTTGAATATCTTTGATAAAAGTAAATTGAAATGAACTTTGAATTATAAAATTGTACGTGATAGAGTATTAAAATTAGGAGACAGTTTTTTCAGATGCTCATTGATAGTGGAAAAATTCTCCTCTGTTTTGTTTTGAAAGGAAATAAAGACCATAGTTTTCTTGGAGGTGGAGTCAGAGAGCATAAGAAAGCAAGAAGTTTGGAATCATGTAGTTTAGGAAGTTTACTAGATTTAATCTGTTTTCGCAAAGAGATTACTTGTTTTACTGGTATAACAGTTCATGTTTGCTGCTTGGGAATCCAACTTGTAGAAAGCTTCCCAGTTTAGTTGGACTAATGGCCGTTAGGTGTGGCTCTTGTTTCAGTGGTCTCAACCCCATTAACCCAGAAGAGAGAGAAGAAATATGAATGGGAAAGATCTAAGATTTAAAAAATCAGCACAATGAAAATGATCATAGCTATGGCTTTTCTCCTTACTATGTGGATGATAATATGGTAGATTTGATCAATACTGGAAGGTAAGAAAGGCTGAACACTAAAACATTCTAAAAACTCTTGTACATTTTTTTCACAGTCTGACTGCCCATATTCAGAAAAGGTCCCCAGTATTAAAATCCCAATGGACATCATGGAACAGCAACCTTTCCTAAGCGATAGCAAACCTTCCGACAGTGAGTAGAACTAACCTCTTGCGTGCTTGCTCAATATGATTTGCACTTGCAGAAAAAAATACTTTAGAGCCATCATCTGCATTAACTTTCCCTCTATTTTATCTTTTTTTCCTGTGTGAAGATTTATACTTCATTCTTACCAAATCTTCTTTTTATATTTTCTTACACTTTACTCTTAACTTCCTTTCATCCTTATATAACCTTTACAGTTTTTGTTTGACAGTCGTTTCTCTTCCCCAGAGTCGTCACCAGATTTTTTTAATTACTAAACCTGTAACCATGTTTTTAATAGCTTTTTCCTTTTCCCCTGCTGGTATTTATTTATTTTTATTTTAATTTTTATTTTCCTGCTGGTATTTAGAACAGCAGCTTATAGTACTACATCACTGTCTGTTACTGTTTGTCTTCCTTAGGTCTCAGTCAATGACCAGATCAGCTCAAAAGACAAATTACATCATGACTTTCTCAGTGATCAAAGAATCAATTGTTAATACTCAGAACTTAATGATAGTTACTTCCAGTTGAAATTGGCAATCTAAAATATTAGTATACCTCTTTAGATGTAACTCATATGGGTTTTTTCTTCCTAATTTCTTTATTTCTCTTCTGCTGCTTCCAATCCATCACTGTAATGTCCTGGTCCTTCTGGGGTCATAGCCTGGTGGCTGCTGTGTAGTGGTTTGTGACACGTCCTCTTGTCTTTTGGTCCTGAGTATTGTGTGTGACGTTAGTGAACATCTCAAGCTGTTCCAGTAGCAAATAGCAGCTGCCTCCACGCTACCGTTCACTTTGAGTTCACATTTGAGGAAAATGAATTCTTTTAGGCCCCAGTGAACTTCAAAGGATACTGATCTGTTATAGGAAAAAAGATACTGAAATTTCTTGTATTTCTGCTTGACAATGTCATTTCAATTTCAATAGGAGAAATTACCAAGAGAAGCTTGAAATAAATGACTATGGATGTCATATATTAGTTTTGAATCACCGAGTCACAAATTACCACAGAATGGGGCTGGGGATTTAGCTCAGCGGCAAAAGCGCCTGCCTGGCAAGCGCAAGGTCGTGAGTTCGGTTCCCGGTACCGGAGAAAACACCAAAAAAAAAGAAAAAAAAAAAAAAAACAAGTTACCACAGAACACAGCCGCTTAAAATACCAAGCGTACATTTTCGCACATGGTTCCCGACACCGCGAAGTGCAGGAGCAGCCGTCTGGGGGCGTCGGGCTCAGCGTCTCTCGAAGGGTTGTGCATCAAGCTTTGATCTGGGCCCAAGTCCCTGGAGACTTGGTTAGACCGGGCAATGTTTCCAAGCTTGCTCGCAAGGCCGTGGCAGGAGGTCTCGGCTCCTTGGCCTGGGCCTGTCTGCAAGGCTGCCTGGAACGTGGCTTCCCCAGAGCACGGGGTAAGCCAGACAGAAACCAAGACAGAAGCTGCAGCCCACTGCAGCCAAACCTCGGACAGGACACATTGTACTTCTGCCATGTCCTCTTGGCTGTGCAGACCGACACTGGTGAAATGTAGAGAAGAATCACATCAGAACATAAACACCGGGAGACAGGGCGTGGGGAAGCTCTTAGAAACAGGCCGCCTGGGTTTAAAGGACCAAGAGCTAACTCAGTCTTACCTTTGTCATCGACTTGTACATGAGCCAGGATTTCTGCCCACTCGCATCAGGGAGATTGGGTTAGGAATTTCTTTTTGACCTCCCAAACCGTGTTCGGATTTTATTCTTCATCTCTGGAGAATTAATGGCAAGAGGACTCTGTGAAGTACCCCTGTGTCTTCCACTGGTTTCATAACCTGGTGCAGTTCTTTCTAAGGATAATGTAAAGGCTGTTTTTTTAAAAAAATTCACCAGCCAGCACTTGAAGCTTGTGGTAAGAGTTTATGTGCCAGGGTTTGTTTTTTTTTTTTTATCCTCTCAAAAGCCTTGTAAAACTGTAGACTGAAAGTTGGTGTCATGATGGTCTTTATAATCCATTAAAGAACAAAGTTGGTCCAAGCAGAGTTGCAGTGAAAGAACTTCAAAAATCCTTTCTCACCTTGAATCATAGCTAGACAAAATTGTGAGTGTCAAAGGTGGCAGGAAAGTCAAGGGTGTGCATCAAACAATGAGAAGATGCTGTTACCATAGAAATGGTACCTTCTTGCCCTTCTCACGGGGAGACAGTATTGGTCCTTTCCAGGAGAGCCTAAAGTGGAGGAAATGAAGTGATTTGGATTACATTCCACTACTGAGACGTGTAGCTTGATACAGTGTTTATTTAAATTGTCTCCATTGTCTTTCTTACTCTTTTCAGTTGTGAAAGATGCATTCATTTTTGTGCAGATTTTTATTTTCTCTCTAATTTTATACTTTACCTACTACTTTTGATTTAAATTTTTGTTTTTCTTTCCAGGAGAAAGATCATCAACATTCCTTGAACGCCACACATCATGCTGATAAAACTCCTTTCCTTCAGTCGCTTGGCTTGCCAAGGTAAAGGAGAGCCCAGGATTTTGTACTGTTCTGGTGGATGATTTCCCCACAGACACGCAGTCAGTGGTGGGCCATTGGCAGAACTCCCTTTCTGCCTTTCTGTGATTTATCTTTAATGAATTATCCAAAGATCAGATTTGCGGGGGCTGGGGATTTAGCTCAGCGGCAAAGCGCCTGCCTGGCAAGCGCAAGGTCGTGAGTTCGGTTCCCGGTACCGGAGAAAAAACAAACAAACAAAAAAAAACAAAAAACAAATTTGCCCCAGCTCTCACTTACAAAAAGTCATTTTCAGAGACCTTCTTCCTCTAGGAAAGATGGCCTCTTTCAGTCATTGAGTTGAAGTCCAGGGTTGACCATAGCACTGATCCTTTGGGCAGTGCCTGATTTCAGGGTAACCAGCATTTCGTTTCCTGGCACACCCACCCTCTAGTCTCCTTCACCCTCACCAGATGCTGGAGGTGACAGGTTGGATTGGATCCTAAAAAGATCGAACTTCGAGTATCTTCACTACAAGATACTTGAGTATCTTCAAGACCCACTACTGGGTCTTGCTCTTCTTTAATTCCAGACAATATTATCCTCTTTTGTCTTTTGGGGAGATTTTACTGTTAACACTCTTTTAAATCTAGCATGGAATCTTATGCAATATCTACCTGAATTTCTTGACTCTTTTATAGAGTCAAATTACAAAATCTTGTTTTTAATGCACATGGAGTAAATACTAAGAGAGAACAAACATTGATACAATTGAATTCTGTACAATGTGTAAACATTTGATGAAGAAAATCAGATGTATTTACTCTTTCTTTTCATTTCATTTGTTCTTCCTCTCCAGTCCTCCTAGAACTCCAGTAAAAGTTGTGCCTCAAATTAGAATAGAAGTTGAGCCTGAAGACAATGATGATTTCTGGAGGAGCAAGGGAACAGAAACTACACTATAACCTGTTTGTCTTTCTTACAAATGACGGTTTTGTTGTTCATGTTCTTGTTTTTTCTCTTTTTTGTCTGGCCATTTATTTTTTAATTTTTGTTCTGTTTCAGTTTTTGATCACTGGCTAAATAACATAGCGCTCTCTCTGTTTCTCTCTTGTATAGGTAAAATCAAGACAGTAGTGCACTGCTCCTTAGAAAAGCATCCGCAGAATCCCCCTTTGTTCTTGCGCTCTAAGATGTGTCTTTTGACAACCCAGTTCCCCTGTCACTCAAGACACGCACAGATCCTTGTCCTTTTATTAAGCAGAGGTCAAAAGTATTAAAGATTTTATAAAACTTTTTACTAAAATTCTGAAGGAACTTAACACATTAGCTTCAGAGCTGTGCTTGCTGGCTTGTTTTTGTCTGGTAGAACAAACGCTGACCTCCAGCCAGAGTCCCTTCTCCCCCTTATAGAGCTGCCCAGGACTGGAAAAAGTGCTGCTATTCTAACTTGCTCTTGCTTATAAGCCCTAATCATAGAGTTATCAAAAGAAAAAAAACTCAAGGTACTTTATTCCCTGTAGACAAACCATCGCCACCATTGTAGCAAGTGCTGGAATGTCCCTTTTTCCTATGCAACTTTTTTTAACCCTTTAATGAACTTATCTGTTGAGTACATTGAAAAATATTTTTCTTTCTAGATTTTTGTTGTTTAAATTATGGGGCCTAACATGCAACTTATTTTTTGTCAATTTTTAAAACTTTTTTTTAATTACTGTAAAGAAAATGAATTTTTCCTGCAGCAGGAAACATAGTTTTGAGTAGTTCTACCTCTTATTTGTAGCTGCCAGGCTTTCTGTAAAAATTGTATTGTATATAATGTGATTTTTACACACACATACACACACACACACACACACACACACACACAAATACACAATCTCTAGGGGAAGCCAGAAGGCTAGAACAGATTTTAAAAAAACACTGTGTTTCTAAGCATCCATTTTAGCCCATTCTTTAAAAGAAACTTAACTGTTCTATGAAGGCACTTGAGAGAGAAGAGAGAAATTCTTACATAAGAGAGCAAGTGCTGTTCTGGTAATGGCAGCATCTGGATGCAGATGGTGATTATATTACCCCATCACTGCCCTATGCAGTGTTGTTAGGCATTTTCTAATTTTGAAATATCTCTGTGTTTGTGTATGCGCTCTGTGTGTGGCTGGTGCACATATGTGTAAAGTTGGAAAAAGAGAAACAGTAAGCAGGGTGAAGTTATTAAGCCCTGTGTGTCAGTTTTCATAAAATCCAAACCACATTTGAAAATCGCATGAGGGGTCCAAGAAACATATCACTAGGGAAATGAAGGCAAATAGGACTTATTTCCTGGCTGGCAGTCACAATCACTGATACAGTAGCTCATACTCACAAAAGAAAATTCATAGGAATATTGACAGCTCACTTACACATCGATACGGTGTTACAGGAGAACGGAGAAGTAGAAGTGGATACGTTTTCAAAGACTTTCACACAATTCTTTGTAATTGGGACATTTAAAATATATATGTGTACATATATATGTGTATTTTTTTCAGAGTACCATATTGAAAATTAGATCTTATTAACCAAATTGTGCCTGATATTTAAATATAGTGTTCTTAAAGAGCTACATTATATGTCGAATAGGACATTTGAAATGTTGAACCAGAGTTTTGGATTCATGTAAACCACAACTGTGATGTATTCTCAGTGTAACAGATTGTTGGAAGACTACTAGAAACAGGTGAAACCACTCATTTTGGAGTACGTACTGACTCCACTCATTCTTACATTAATTAAATTGTAATTTTACCCTCTTAAGTTAATTATAAAAATTTTATTGAGTTAACTATTACTTTTGTAATATCGCAAAACTTTTAATTTTATTAAGATTAGGCCAAAATGACCTGAATTTTTAAATTAAAATGAGAGTGGCAAACTACGCATTCTAAAACCTCACTTGCCAAATTTTGGCATCATGTTTGCATATAGATCTATCTTTAAAATGATCATTCTATATGATCTAGTTTTATTTTACCCAAAAAAACCTATATGAGAATGTGTACCCTTTCTCTTTACTGACTGAAGTGTCAACAGAATGTTTAATAATCATAAATTTAGTCTAATCAAGATGTTGCTAAGTCAAAGGCACTTTTATTTTTTATAAAAGCTCTCTCTCTCTATATATATATATATATATTTTTTTTTTTTTTTTTTCTAATCACAAATCAAGTATTTGGCGATTTATACCCCTTTCCATACCAGTCCAAGAACTGCTGAAGCAGCTTCAACCGTCATTTCAGCCTTTGAGTAGATAGGAAGCTATCTGCATTCCCACTGTGACCCAGGTCGTGTCACGCTGGGATAATGTCTGTATCTGTGTTGTAAAGAAAAGAGTATCTTATGTTTGCTACAGCAAACACTTTCAACATTGTGGAACCCAGGAAATAATTTTTTTTTTTAAAACATTGTTACTTTTAGAGGAACAAAGGTAGTTAACACACTGACAAGCAAAACCAGTGTACATGTAGAGCCAACAGATGACCTATATTTGAACCAAATTTACAGGCTGGATGAGAACTAATCATATTTGGGGGGAGTGGTTTTGTTTCTATGTAAACTGAACACAAGTACAACAGAAATTTTTTCCAACATACTTCTCTATTTTTGCTCTGATGTGCAACTTGGAGTTACATGATTCAAGTTTCTTGAGGTAAAGCCGAAGTGCACTCAGAGCTGTTGACCAGGATTCCTGCAGTTGCAGGAACTTGCTGGTGGAAGAGTCTGCCTATGCAAAAAGCATTAATCCTCTGGTTTTGCATTTGAGAGAAAATCTGTGGAAGATACTGTTTTCCTTGAGAAAGTCACTTTTCTCTGCTGTGTGTAACTACTTGAAATTCTAACTATTTCATATGCCACAGGCAGTATTGTTCCTGCCTCTTCTTCCAGTCAAGGTTGAGGAGAGGTTGGGGAGGAGCCTTACTGACTTGAGAAGCGGGAGAGAAAACCTCCCTCCTCAGCCCCACACCTCAAGCAATGGAGGGAATTATCTGCTGTCAGTAATCCAGTTTTTGTGAATTTCATGCACATGCAACAACACACACAGAGTGACTCTTTTATCAGCTGTATATTGGTGTTTAATATGGAGAATGATTGTCTTCCGAGTTTTTTTTTTTTTAAACTGTGTTAAAGTACTTGAAATGTATTGACTGCTGACTCTCTGTCATAAACAAAATATTTGAGTTGTATTACAGAGGTTGACATTGTTCAGGGATGGGACAAAGTGTTCTTCAGTCTTTTTCATACCACTTACATGATTTTGGTGTAGGAACCTGGGATTTTCTTATTTATGTTCCATGGTAGCTCACATCTGCTCTCGCAGTGTGAGCTGGGGGCCCAGTGGTACGAGAGGCTGAACACAATCAAGTGATGACAGCACTTCCCTGAGGGATCTGGGGATATTTGAATGGTGACTTCATTGAGCACCTTCACAGCCTGAAATCTTAAAAATCAGCTTATAATGTATGCTGATCAGTCAAGTTGTGTTTTGACCAGAGATTTGGGTATATCTTGTTTCTTGGCTCATTTATTTGTGCTCTATGGGTACATACAAAAATTCTGAATTTAATTTCCTAGGTAAATATTGCAACTCAGGGTTAAAGTCACCCAGTGAACTTTTAGAGCCAGAAGTAACTTTGTCCCAGTCCTACAATGTGACAAGAATGAACGGCTGCCTCTGTTAGCCATTTTCATGGCTGGTACATATCCATACACATTACTTTTCAGAATCAATACGCACTTTCAGATATTCTTATTTTTATTCTCTTAAGTCTTTATTAACTTTGGAGAAATGATGCATCTTTTTATTTTAAATGAAGTAGATCAACATGGTGGAACAAAATGATAAAGAACAGAAAACATTTCAATACATTACTAATAATTTTTTCCAATATAAAAACTAAAATTCCTATAACATTATAGTATTTTACAGTTTTATGAAGCTTTCTATTGTGACTTTTATGGAATTAAGAGATGAAGAAGATGAGATATTTTAGCATTTATATTTTTCAAAATTAAATGTATACTTAAAATAAAGTAACTTTATGCATTTATGAGTGTCAAGTGCTTCTGTTCCATGCTTCACCTTGCTGTTAAACACTTCTTATTCTGTTCTTTTGGGAGCTGCAGGGATAAGCACAGAGATGAGTAAGTCAAAGTCCCTGTGCCCATATTACTTTAATTCCTCCAGTGGGGAGGATAAGGGAAGTAGCCAGGTTTCATAAGAGATGGTTGAGAATTATCTGTTCAAGAGATTTTAATGAAATGATCTCATGTAAGGGTGCTCATAAAAAGGATACAAGGGATCTCATAAAAGTAGGAAAAAAATGTGCTCAACTAAGTAATGGGAATGGTTTTATAAAGAAGAAATATTGTCATTTGTCATATAAAAGTAAAACACAAAATACCATTTTTGCATCTAGGATGATGTATATACTCAGTTCTTTAAGTGAAAAAAATGTGAATCCACATAAACACACACAAAAATTGCTCAAATGAGCAAAATCCCAGAATGATCTTCCATCCAGAAATAATTTCCAGAAGAGTCATCTAATGTCTAAAATTTTCCAGAAAACTTAAATTTAATCAGCTAGTGGTGCTGCTGGTGAGTGGAGCAAACTGAAGGAAAGAGAAATAACCATTGATGGTAGTGAAAAATTACATTTGAAAAAGAAAAGGCAGGAGCATTAGCTAAAACCATCTTTCCACCTGGAAACAATATATAGGCAACAGTCTGAGTATATGGGTATAGAAGTTGAATTTGAACTTTATCATTGATCTGGAACAAGCAGCAGAAGGCCACACTCAGATCATACCATGGGAAAATTTGATTAATTCACCAACATACCATAGAGAGTTCATTAAATATTATCATGCATGACAACTAAATCAAGAAATTAGGACCAAATATATTTAGTATATTAGTGTCAACCTAAGATCAAAAAGATTTTCCACAAAGAATAATAATATTTATTTGAGAGTAATAAAGTATTGCAATGGGAACATGTGTGTTATAGTAAACTGAATGCCTTCCAAGTTGGGATAAGGGCAAGTTTTTAAGGGCAAAAATAAGGAGAATTACATAAAATATTTTGAGCAATAATTCCCATGGGATTTGATAACACTACACCAATGTGAAGTTGAGTAGCAGTTACTGAACATGTCTTTAAAGAACCATTTTAAAAATAAGGTTGTAGCAGCTTTTGAGCAAGGTTGTGGTTCTGATAGTGTGTCTTGGTTACTTTTTCTCATTACTGAGACAAAATACCCACCATCCAAATTTAAAGGAGAAGGGTTTATTTCAGCTCACAGCTCATAGAGATTTCACTGTAGCTCTAAGATGATTAGTTTCTTGCCCCGCTGTAATTCCTGCTGAGTTGCTATGGCACCCAGCCAATATGGCACTAGAGGTCATGTGGTATGGTGCTGAGTCACTATGGCATCCAGCCAATATGGCGCTGGCCACTAGAGGCCATATGCTAAGCCCCACCCTTCTTCCTCTGAGTCAAATTACAACTTCCTACTTGTCTTTTTGTAATATCCTGTTCTCTTTTCCCACACTCCCACCCAATCCTGGTCTGGCATGTCAGGAGGTACGCCTCCTAAACCCCGCCTCCAGCCTGCGGCTATTTAACCTTGGACCCCACGAAAGATCGGCAGAGGCCATGTTTTCTCTTTCCTGTGGCCTTTCCGTGTCCACAATAAAGGCATTTTATTCTGTTTTACTTCTCTCTGTGCTGGAAAAACCTATCATAAGACAGGAAGGCATAACAGAGTCATCACAGAGACAGTTCATGGTGTGGTAGGCAGAAGGCAGTGAAGCAGCAAGCAGCAGCAACAAGCCTGCCTTCCTCCTCCCCCATTATGATCCATCCAGGCTACAAGCCTGTTGGTGCCACCCACAGGTGGCATTATCTACATCTAGAACTGTGCAAAACCCATTTAGTTATCACCCATCTTACACATAACTACCTCTGAAAAGCTCCACCTATGAGCACATGAGGTTTATTTGTTATGGTTTAGATGACTTTATTTTGGGAACTCTCACATTATGAAAAGGAATATACTTTTGCATTTCTGCAGTTCTTCATTACGCTGTCTGTTCTTCCTGATTAACCTGGGAACTAGAAAAAGCAAGCCAGAACACTGAACTACGAACCATCTATATCAATGTCGAGGCGGGCCAGTTTAAGCACCATGGGTCTAAGTAAAGAACTCAGCTTCTCACTCAGAATTCACTTACATTCTGAATAAGTAATCAGAGATCAACAGTTGGCTGTTGTGATGATGGAGAAAACTATTGATACAAAAAAGAAAGCTACCAAGAATTAATAGGTTAACCCTGGCAGAAGAGAGAAGATAATAAAAGCTCTATAAGTACAGTCAAGAATTTAAGAGCCAGTTTATTTAGTACAGTAGCAAGGATGCTATAACAGTTCTAAAGGAAAATGTATTGATTTTAATATTGATTAAAATTTATCAATTAAAAGATTAAACTGATTAAGTGTCTTTAAGGTAAAAATATATGTCAATTAATGCACAAAATAATGATTTGGAGCTAGGAGAAACAAACTTTTCTACTTCTGTTCATTTAATTTTTGGAAACTAAATCGAGTAGTTTTTGGAGAACAGAAAATAAGACATAATTCCTGATTGCAAGTAAATGGCAGGCAAGTGGCAAAGAAGTACTTATAGACTAGGTGGTGCCATAGGAAATTATTATAGAAGTATGGGCTAAGGTCGAAATGCAAATGTTAATAATTCCTTGTGTGACTAAAAGGAAAAATTGTTGAAAATTTCTAAAGAAACCTGAGTTTGTGTTGATGAATGGCGTCTGATGTGGAATTGAGAAAGTGAGTGAATAAAGACATTGCAAATCTGAGAGGATAAACAAAATAGTTCCCACAGAGATGGGAACAAATAGTGCCATGTGTTATGATTTCAATGCTCCAGAGTTTTTTTGAGACAGGATCTTGCTATGCAGGTTGGTTTTGAACCCACTAGGAAGCCCAGGCTGACCTTGAACTCTCAGCAATCCTCCTGTCTCAGCCTTCCAAGTGCTGGGATTATAGGTACCTGCCACCACACCTGGCTCCCTCTAAATTTTATCTTAATAGTTAATATTTACTTTCTTAATATTTACTTTCTTGATTACTTATTGCTGGGACAAAATCCTGAAAACTCACAAGTTAAAGGAGGAAAGGTTCATTTTAGTTAATTGTTTGTGGAGATTTCAGTTTGTAGTCAGCTGGCTCAAAAGCAAGACAGCATGAGAGAGGGGCATGGCAGAAGAGAAACAGTCCATGGCAGAGCAGGTAGGAGGCAGCAAGCAACAGCAGTGAGCCTCCCTTTCCCTTTTATTCCATTCAGGCTACAGGCTATTTTGTGGTGCCACCACCACCCAGGGTGGGCCTTCCAATTATCCACACCCAAAATTTCTCTAAACCAATCAGTGGGTTAATTCAATTATCACATACTCTTAATCTAAATTCACAGTCCTAGATCCAGACACCTCTATAAAGCCCCACCTACGAGCACATGAAGTTTTGAGTGGACATCAAAGTACAATCCACAATATTTCCCAATGCAACAATATTGAGAGACAAGAACTTTAAGAGAGAATTAGGTAAAGGGTCCTGCCCTCATGAGTAAATTAGTGTCTTTATCAGAGGAGTGGGTAGTTATCTTGTGGATGGCTTCCTGGTAAAATGAGTTTTAGTTTACTGTTTCTTCTATGGTCTCTCTGTGTGCTTGCTAGCCACTCTTGTCATGTTTTAATGAAGCAAGAGGACCCTCAACAGATTCCACCTCTCCATCTTAGACTTCCCATATTCCAGAATCATATACCAAATAAATTTCATCTCTTTATAAGTTATGCAGTCTGTAGCATTATGTTACTGCAGCAAAAAATGGACTGACATTATGCATTTGTGCAAGCATTCATTCATTCAGTAGATATTGGACATCTACTGTGTGCCAGACTCTGCTTAGTTAAAGCAGTATAGAAAAGTATATACCTAGCCCTTGACCTATGAAGTGGATAATCAAGAGAGAGAAAGAAGTGAATGAATGAGTAAAATAAGAGTTATGAATTATAAGTGCTATAAAAGAAACGGATGGAGGTAATATGAAAATACTGTGAATGTGGTAGATATTGGGTAGACAGAGGAGATAGTAGAGTGCAGACCTGGCATATGTGGGGAGGAAGCAAGGGAAGATTGGTCTTGGTGGAGGAAGCCCCTTGCAGTAAAGACAGGCTACAGGATGAGGAGATGCCAGTGTTTAACCTCATGGGACCCTTCCCTGAACTCAAAGAGTTTGGGCTTTATACTGAAAGTCAGTGCCCGTGTGCTGAGGGTTTTGAGAAGAGAAACAATTGATCAGATTTGCCCAGACATAGGAATAAACTGGAGTGACTACAAGCAGAGTGACCACTGCAAACAAGTATGATAGTTCAAAGGAGACGGTACAGTTGGTGTGAGTCACCTTCACCAGGTAGGTACACAGGATGGTTAGCAGAGCATGTGGACACTTCAGCTTCCTGGATGTTCTTTTATATTTATGCTTGTCTTGGTTACTTTTCTCTCACTGTTGAGGCAAAATGCTTGACATCCAGAATTAAGGAAGGAAAGGTTTATTTAGCTCACAGTTTGTGGAGGTTTCAGTCCATACTTGGCTGGCTCCAAAGGAGAGTGGCACAGGGCAACCATTCATGGTGGCAGAAAACAGCAAAAAACAGCCAGAGCAAAAGGGAGGAGTGGCAGCAAGCAGCCTGTTTCTCTCCCTTACATATGCAAACTATCTGCCCCAGGACAGGTGTAGCACTCACACCCATAATTCCAGCATTGGATCATGGATCAGTCGTAAACTCTAAAAGCCCACCTCATGAATGCATGAGGCTTTCGGGGGGGGACATCCAGACACAAACCATAACAGTGCCTAAACCTGAATAGAATTTTTCATACCATTTTCCCCTTCTCAAAAAGGTAAATACTGGTGTTTCTTAAGTCCTTTTCCTCTTTTTTCTTCTTTCTCTCCTAGTCTTGTGAGCTCC